TTAAATATCTATACCTAACTTTACCTGAACCAAAGGACTAAAAGGATACCGATCTCATTTGCTCACTGAGCACATACACTGCAATACATGCATGATTTTATGACTGAACATGATTAGTCCTTTGTAGTCTAACCAATCATTAATAGTGGTTGATAGATTACTGATTGTTAGCAAATTATTGCATAATTCCAAATTAATCCTGGATACTGTTTTTAACCAATTTTTAAAAGAGGATTAATAACTGATACTTGAAATATTATTTGTTCCCATGATTATGGGAAATGGAGGGGGTAGGGGCTATGATAATCCCTCACTTAATGCTATCAAACTCTCAGTTGTTATTAACAAACCTCAATACTTCCCTGATAGCAATGGAGGAGTGAAGTTGAATCCCTATATGGAAAGTAGGAAAAGCTCTAATAATCACAGTTTGGATTTCAAAGCCATAGAGCCACAGGTTTGCATTATTCTTGTGTTTCTTTAGACCTACAAAAGATATCAAGAAATTGTAGCAGTTTGGTCCAGGACACTGTAACCTTGAAGTACGTGGTCAAGGGGGAAGGGCTTACCCCTTATCATCAGATATCTCTCATAATGGTGTAAGTTTCCTTGTACAGATTGGATATAAAAGGGACAATTTGCCAGTGAATGATCAGCCTTCAATTCAGCTATCATGTACCACAAATGTGAGACTGCCTTGGGGAACTGACTACTTGGACAAGACTGCAAGTAGGTGGTGCCCTGACAACTTCGCCAACCCTCTTAGCGGTTACCAGAGTCTTTTTCCCCAAGCATCTGCAATTACTGGAGTACCAATGCTGATAAAACTAAGTATTTGATTTTTGAGGATTCTGCTTTTCTCAAAACCCTCTAGGTTAGAGGCTGCTGGTTCATACACACCTCAGGAACTTTGGTGCCAGGAAGCAGCAGTTTCCTCTACTGGTCATTGTCCACTCTTGACCCTATACCCCTATTTTGTTCCTTGACCCTATACCCCTTGACCTGTTCCTAAAAGTGCTATGCCACTGTCATGACGCTGGTGCCTAGATCTGCCTCATACATTAGTCCCTCTTGAATACCGGTCATATTAAGTTCAACGTGGACTTTGCTCCATCACCTTGAACGAATCACTTGACTTGTCTAATCACATACAAGTTACCTGGAAGAAGGATCACAAGACTGGTCTTGAGAGAGCCTGCCTAGATCTGACACAGCAGCTTCCAGTCCACTCCGTGAATATCCACATTAGCCACACCCTCACACATACTCTTTAATTTTTGGCAATCTTCCTGCATAAGTTCTTGTAACTTTTCCATTCAACTAGTATCTGCTGTTCCACTTATCCTGGGGAAAGCAGGACAAAAAACAAAACAAAACCTATTACCTAAGTGGGTTCATAATTATGATGGAGTCAGTTGTCTCAACTTCTAGCTAAACCATCTTAACTCTATCCCTGATGTGATTTTTCACTCTTTATATTGGTTCTCTGTCTTCAACCAAATACTCTCTTCTTCAGGCTTTCATTTTGGGCTTTCCTCTCTCTGGGCCGTGGAGGATGGGCTTCAAGTGTGTAAAATCCTAGAAATGAAAGATAAAATGTGGTGCCTGTGCCTGTGATGAAAATGTGCTGGGGAAGGGAAAGCAACTTTATTCAGAAAGCCAGTAAGCCAAGAAGATGGAGAACTAATGTCCTAAAGAATCATATTAAGAAAATACAGAAATTCAGGTTTATTTTATGTCAATGGGAGGGGTAAAAGGGAGGGACAAGAGGTAACTGATGTCACAGACATCTGGGTGCCCGCAGGGATTCTGAGCAAGATTGTGAAACTTTGTTCTTAGTCTGCTGACTCTAACTGATGAGTCCTGTCACAATGTTCCTGCAAATCTTTGATAAACAATCATTACTTTTGAACATACTTCCCTTATCTCCTTAGGAGAGGCACTTACTAGTAAAGGACTGTTTCTGTTAAACTCAAGCCACTAGCAGAATGATTAGCATGTCTATATGTGAGACGGAGCAGGAGCTATCAACCTGAAGGCTGTGGGAAAAAAGCAGACTTGAACAAGATGAAGTCAGTGGTGGAGCTTTTTTCTCTTACATGCCTTTCCCAGAGAGAATCCATAACTACTTTCATGTGATTCTCAGAATCTGTGACAGAAAAAAAAGGTTTTCTTGTGAATGATAAACACAGATGAGCCTTGTACACTTGACTTCTGCTCATCAAGCAGCAATCAATGGTAGAGGAGGAGGAATATTACACATTAGGGGGAAAATGTAAGCCTGAGCTCTCCACCTTGGACCATGTATCATCCTTTTCTCTGGGAAGGAAATGGAAACATAAAGCCAACAGGGCAGGGTATTATAAGTGCAACTCCGGATTGACTTGTCAGGTCCTACAATCAGATTGTTTTCTTGGACCAAGTTTGGGACTCAGTTTCCTTGTATAAAGAGACCTGATTTTAAAATCATACATTCAGAACATTTTAGTCCACCTACAACAGGTTTGGAAAACCTATGGGTGAGGGGTGAGTATAAAGCTTCCTCCTCTTTATTTGTTCCTTCTGCCCTTCAAACTGTAGGTTTAAAAAAGAATCCTCCCCCTTGGATATGTTTACTGACTTTAGAGAGAGAAAAAAAGGGGTGGAGGGAGGTGGGGAGAGAGACAGAAAGAGAAAGAAACAACAATTGGCTTCTTTCCATACATGCTCTGAAGACTTGGCACCCACAACCTAGGTATGTGCCCTCACTGGGAAGTGAACCTGTGACCTGTGGTGTCTGGGACAATGCTACAACAGAGACACTTGGCCAGGGCATTTGCAGATTTTTTTTTTTCAAAGTGGGGATTTGTCCCTACTTGATTAAACATTGAGGAGAACTCTAAAAAGGTTAAGAGCCACTGATACGACAGACCAGAATTCACAGCCTGGTAATGCTACCTACTAACATTATGTAAAATGCTTGGTACAATAGGGACTCAATTAGATAAGCATTATTTTTAACATAATAATAAGCCAAGTTGAATAGTTACCTTTGTGAACTCATTCACTTCCATCTAAAAGTGAAAGACAACCCTCCAATTGTTTTACAGCTTCAAACCTGCCTCTAAAGCTCCATCAAGACTGTACACACAGTCACTGGCTACTAAACTTCAATTTCCCACCAGTAACTCAGTTTCATTGTTTTTTTCCTTCTCTGTCACCATATCATATATTTCACTCAAAGCTCATCAACCAGTTTGGCCAAGCTAGAAATCTGTGTATTATCTTTGAGACTCACTCTTCCCTTTAACATTTAACATGATTAGACCATAAGCCTATTGGTTCTTCCTTTAAAAGATCCCTGCAGCGGGTCCCCTCTTCATCCCCATGGTCACCACCTTAGTTTTGGAATCTTAAAAATTCCTACCTGGATTATTACAACAGCTTTGTAACTTATTTTTGTCCCAAGTTTCTTACATGTAGATTCTGTCCTGCTGTTATTGAAGAATCTTATGTGATGGGGATTTTTCAAAAAGTATTAAATTATAAGTGTGTGATTCTCTCCTTCCGCCTGAAATCTTTTTCTTTGGCTGACAGTCTCACCCTCCCCTTTAAGTGATACTTTGCTAGTGCCAGCTTTGGTCCCTGGGTTGTGAAAAATAAGAATAACAGACACCAAAAATCACAGCCTTACAGGGTCAAAGACTAATTCAATTAACTCCCATTAGTAACAAAAGTGAGAGTTTATTATAAGAAGGCAACTGCAAGAGTAGAAAGTGGGGTAAGAAGGGGGAGGACCTTAGGCTTGGTTTAGGGGGCAGCTTTTTGATTTGGACTTCAGAGAGACAAGGGTAAAGACAAATTTAAGGTAAAATAATCAAAATGCAAGAAGAAGGGAGACACTGAAGTGCTTCTTTGATTTTCCAATTTTGGTGGCTTCACCACACATGAACCTGTATCACGAGTATCTCTTGGCTCTAATAGTTACATTTGGTTAAACTATATGCTCCCAAGATGAAGGCCCCACGACATGTAAGGCCCTTCACTATCTGGCACCCACTTTTGCAACCCTATGTGCCCCCCCCAGCATACTTCACTCAGAATTATTCTCTATTCTGCATTTTTGGGTTTGCTTCCTCTGCCTAGAATGACCTCACCTACCTTTCCACTGTGAATTCCCTATACACCAAGATCCAAAACTACAAACCCCCTTCCTTGGAATTGGGATAGTTGCTTGCTTTCCATGGTCAAATCACCTTCAAGGAAGGGAATGTAAGAAAAAAGGGAAAGAGTTTGAGTACCTATATCTTTTCCCAGGAATTAAGAGGGACACCCAAAGAGAAAGGCGCTATCCACAGGGAGCTTTCTTGGAATGGATTTGAGTAATTGGTCTAGGAGAGAATGAGATGTCCACGGGCCAGTAAGTTTGAAGCCAGCCTAACTCCTTCATGTAAGGGATGGACATTTTTTCTAATACATAAATTAGTCGCTCCCGTTATTTTAAGCAACAAAAATAATTTGTAATTTATTAGAATTAATTATTTGCAAATGATAAAACCGGCCAAATTTCTAGAAATAACAGTATGCTCTGCTCTGAATAATGCTAAAATGCATTTGTGCTGTCAATAAAAGAGGTATGTAAAAACAAGGAAGAGACCAGACTAACACTGGATAAAAACTCACCTCTAAATCAAAACTGACCATGTGATATCAAATTTACACATAAACAAGTACAAGTAGAATGTGTTTCTCAATCTATCAACTCCTCTGTGTTGACAAACCTGCAGGGCAAGAAGCAGTAGTGTTCACTATTTACAGTTATTAATTTATCCAAGGCGAAGACCTGTGCCCAAGAATGGAAACATCCCAGGCCCACAGAAACACCTAGCTTTTAGAAAAAGGGAACTAAAGGAAGGTGCTTCACAAGGGTGTTTGATGACAAAAATGAATAAAAGACTAGATCAAAAGGAGCTTGGAATCACAACGAGGCAAAAACATGTAAAATAGTTCAATGCAGCCAACCTTATTTATTGAGAAGTCCTAATTTTATTGCCCGTTTAGTAACATGTTTGTTCCACAGACTAATTTCTCATAAAGCAAAGCACAACTTTTTCTTATAAATAGTATAAATTATTTTATTTACAGAAACCTGTTACAAAACAAATAGACTATATATTTCTTCTCTTTTAAATATCCAAAGTAATTTTCTATCCCTTGACATTTGTTCATGTTCTATACAGCAGCCAACACAAAGTCCAGCTGAGATGCTCTTGATTATGTGTACAAATTATCAAACTATTCACACACTTTAACACAGGAGATTGCTTTTATAATCAAGCTCAAAAAACAAAACAAAACAAAAAAACAAAACAAAAAACCCCAGCAAAATGCTTTCAAGCCCCTACATTCACACTGACAGTATGTAGTGCTCATTTAAATGATCTGAGAATGTAAAATGTTTTGCACAACATGTAAAAATCATTATTTTCTTCTAAACAATGAAACTTTTAACAATCATTTTCCAAAGCTCAACATTTTCCCCAGGACAGAATGAAAGATATTAAGAAATTCCTTGGCAACAGAACTCTTGCAGGAAGACAGCTGCCTTTATAAATTACATTTTCAAATTATACATTTTTTTCAACGTTCTCAGAGGTACTTTGTATTGTCTTTTTGGAATACAAAAATTTTAAATATTTGATTTTAAACTTAGTATTTTATGAGAGAATAACAAAACGGAAAACATCATGTACGCTGCTGGCTGACAAACATTTGTAACCCTTGGTGCCACTGGGCAATCCATCACCAGTTGAATTACTATGAACCAAAAAGCCTTAATTTTAAAACACCTTATAAAATTACCAGCATTGGTGGTTTTCAACTCGTTCCCTAAATTTTTAGAAACAGTATTTAGGTGGAAAAAGCAAACTCCAAAAGTTCCACTGAACATTCAAGTCTTTTTAAAGAGAGTCTGTCTATGCTTAAAATTAGGTTCAGGCACTTTCAGTTTTTTTTTCCATTAGTTTTAAACCATATCACATACCAACACACATGTGCTCAGAGGGTACACATACAAACACGCAGGCGCACGCACATACACTCTCTCACATAAAACAAAAGAAAAGCAGTGTGTCACTTAGTTACATGCTGTCTATCAAGAAACCAGGCAACTAGGGAGAAGCAATGCCCACTTCATCTGTATGAATCCACTCCCGAGACGCTAAAGGGACAAAAAAGACTTTCACAGAACAGAGGCATCCCTTAAACTGTAAAGGAGGCAGGTTCTAGAACTATTGGCTTGGCAGTGAACCACTTCAAATTATAAAAAGGTATTTACTTTTATTAATTAATAAATAAATACTAGATGATCTCAATTGTACCAAAACAGGATATCAGAAAAAAAGACCTGTGCAAAAATACATATTTAAATATGTACAATTCATTTTTAACAAAATATGTCTTCTGAGATAGGGATACTTCCATATTTATAATAGAACAAGAAATTCCAAAATAAAGGTACAAAAGTAGGTTTTCTATAATTCTTTGTTCATCATTGCAGCACTTTTTTTAAGGTTAAGAAAACTGCAGGAGTTGTCATGAAATTCTATTGGAAAGAATATAAAAATTATCTTGGTTTTAAATTGATACCAAAGTCTGTCTAGAAACAACCCAACCACTGCAAATTTGGTTTTTGCAAGTTAATTTAATTAAAAAAAAATACTTGTATTCCCATGTTTTAAATGGTCTTAATTGTCCATCATCATAAAAAGTCATTGTAGGAGAAAATAAAATATTTGAACAGTCTAAAATTTAATAGCACTGTTTAGAATATGTCTGTTTGTGGCAGGCAGAATCCAAAATGGCTAATTTCCTAATCCCGACGCTCTCTGTACTACCGGGAAACATAATAAAATCCAATTAAAACCTCAGTCTATGAAATTAAATAATCAACACCGCTAATCTAGATATAGCTACATTATTCTAAACCAACTTGCTACTGTGGATCCTATTCACATCTTTCGGTACAACATGATCTGTCTATAAACTCCACTGCTAAAAGCAACTTCATTTATAACCATCAATTCCCCTTGGCTCTGAAAATAAATTCTACCCATACCCCATTGCACTTGTCACCGAGGAATCAACTGAATATGTTCTGATTCCCTCTTACCTCCTCTTCTTTGTCCACTGGGATGGAACAACCAGACTGACTTCTCCTAACTACACCAAACCTGCCCTCCCAGGCTCAGGCTCTCTCCTTACTGAGCACTCCTACAGTATCATTTTAAAAACATTTACTGATTGATTGCATAATAAGTGCACAAGATACTGTTCTCCCCTTTTTAAAAAAATCAGTATTTTACATCAATTTATAGCTAAAGTATCTGCATAAAATTTTTTTCTTACATAAGATTAATTCTGTAGCAATTCACATTATTAGGCTGATAACCAAGTATTTATTCATCCCACCTGTTGTTGACTTGAAATTCCCTGAAACTGAAGTAACCCAAGAATTGCAGGGAAGAAAGGATGTACTGACTGGCCCTGCCCAGTCCCTGCCCAGGGTGGTCACCAGAGCCCCGGGAAATTTATCCTGTGTTCAGCAACTCTGTGTGTTCTTCTAAGCACACGTGCCTGGTTCTTGTTTCAGGAGCTGTGATCAGTTGACTGACCTGTTCAAAAGCTCCAACTTATCCCTCAAACTCCTTCTCAAGCAATGATGTTTTAACATATTAAGCTCCTTCTTTTGGGGTGGAGAACTAGAAAAAAATATCCTGGGGAGTCTCCAAAACTCTTAGAAAGATGGCCAGCATGAATCCCAAGAAAAGAGGGTGTGTCAGGGAAATACTAGATGTGCATCCATCCCCTCTTCATGGGTACCCGTACAGATTCACTACCCTCCCTCCCCAGGTGCCTGCTCCCTACCCCAGTGGCAACCAAATAAACATCTGTAATGGCAGGAGGGGGAGTGCACACACATAACATGGGGGAGTGCTCAAAGCAGAAATTTACCTTAGCCCAGGACAGTATGCAGAGGGGAGTTGGAAGATATAGTATGGAGAGTGCCTTGGAAATATTTAAGTATATTAATGACTTTGTGAATGACAGTTTCTGCTGCATCCTGATAATTTCACTTTACAAAGGTAAGTTTTTGAAAACAGGGGACTGGGCAGGACAATGAACCCAATCTGCCACAATGTTTAACATAAAGACTTAAATGGATAGAAAATTTCCACCTCTTTGGAAATCTTGGAAAAAATTTTTCCCGTATAGTGGTTTTTATCCACCACTCTTCAAAATTTTGGCTTTCCATTATCAAACTAGTTTTCTTCTTTTTTGTAAATCACACAGAATCGCTTTTGTACCATGAAAAGTAAGCTTCTAAAATGGTATATACTTGCTCTCTGGGCATCAGTAGCTTTAAACCAGTCTGTAAGTTTGAAACTTTTGACAGCTTCTTATCCTAAATGACTTGCAAAATGCTGGGAAAAATACAGGCTATTCTGTCATGATGTCTTGCACTAACACACATGTTCCATTCCTGAAACATGGCCATAAAAACCCAATGGCAGATTCCCTTCTCCAGAGGGCTGCTCAGGGTACAGTCCTGTCTCCCCTCTGGAAGGTGTCTCCAGTCAAGGTGCCTACCTGCTAGAACTGAACAAGTTCAATAGGCTAGACCCTACTCGCGTGAAAACTCACACCCAAAGCAGTTCCCATGCTCGGGGAGAGGGAACTCTGGCCATGAACAGACTACCCAGCCCTATCTCCTAGGCTTCACAGCATGTTCCACTGCATTCATTCCCTAGTTCAGGGAGCCTCAGCCAGGTCAGCTATCTAGCAGGGTGACACCTTAACTCTAGACAGTGACCTGCAGAAGACAGTGTAAAAAGAACTGGGGTGGAGAGAGGAGGAAGGGAGAAAATTCTACAGTAATGTTCTTACCAAAACACTCAACCCAGCCAATCTACTTAAAGAGTGGCTCCGTGATATACTGCAAGTTAAAAAACAAAACAAAAATGTCTCACAGATTGGTAACAAGCAGTCCAGACCACTTTAACACTGATAGAAGCAATTTGGTGGCTGAACCTGATCCAGTGTCCTTTACGAATACTCACTGCTACAGACAAAGCTTCAGGGAAATCCTGGTTAAAACAACAGCCCGGCAGATCTCTATCTTTGAGGCCCACAGGAGGTTGGGAAAACAGACTCAAAGGCATCTTGGAGTCCAGAGTGCTGAGTGGAGGTGTAACTTGTCGTCGAAAGTGTCCAGATTATTCCTCCCCATGCTATTTTCAGTTGTCAGGGACGTGTCTTTGGCTTTCAAAAAAGAGGGGGTAGGGAAACAATGAAAAGGTAAGTAAGCAGTAATGTACTGCCTGCACTACTCTGATGCTAAATAAGAACATTCCAAGGCCATAGGTCTCTAAAGTCTTCACTGACAGGGTGATGCCAGGAGCAGCCAGCTGAAGAATTTGGCCTTGGCTTTCAAAAGCCTTCATTGCTTTGGGCACAATCATTCTATAAGACTAACTTTTTAAAAAACAGTCTAGAAGAGATGCAGGCTGGGTTTCTAGCTTAGAGAAAAAGTTCATGTTTGCCTTTTGGTTTTATTTACTGACTTTTTTTTTCCTTGAAGGTACTGCAGGTTGTCAACTGAAAACTGAACAAAGTCAATAGGCTAGCCCATACAGGTATGAAAACTTACACCCAAAGCAGCTTCCATGCTCCAAAAGAGGGGACTCTGGCCATGAACAGACTACCCAGCCCCATCTCCTAAACTTCACAGCATGTCCCACTGCACTCTTCCCTAGTTTATGGAGCTTCAACCAGGTCTGCTATCTCTATTTTAAAGTCGGCTCCAATGAAGAACAGCAAGTTGGGGTCCCTACTTTTCTAAGAGCAGCATAAAGAATGCTTTAAAGAAAAGCATTTTTGGGTCATGGGTCTCTTTTAGATTTGGGTGAAAGCTATGGGATCCCTTTTGCAGTGAATGACATAGACATGAAAAATACAACACTTTGTTGGGGGTTCACAGATCCTCTGATTTCTAGCTATAGGTCCCCCTAGGATTTGTGCGGCATAATAAAAAGTGTTCCATTCCATGGAAGAAATCATTCTCAAATACAAACTTGTTAAAACTAATTTTAAAGAGAAGAATGGAAACTTAAGCTGTTTGTCCCAGTGGACATAGCTTCCCCGATGGTGGAAATCAGAGGTGGGAAATTGTTAGCTCGTAAGCCAAACTTAGCCTGTGTGGGCTATATTAGATTAAACAGACAAGACATGTTGCCCTGGCTGGTGTAGCTCAGTGGATTGAGCACAGGCCTGTGAAGCAAAGGGTTGCTGGTTCGATTCCCAGTCAGGACACATGCCTGGGTTGCAGGCCAGTTCCCCAATAGGGGACACGTGAGAGGCAACCACACATTGAGGTCTCTCTCCCACTCTTTCTCCTTCCCTTTCCTTCTCTCTAAAAATAAATAAATAAAATATTTAAAAAAAAAGATAAGACATGTAAAAAAAATACATAGCTTTAAACAGTGGCCAAATTTCTCACACAAGTCTGGATCTGCAGTTTCTCCTTGGAAATGGTAACAAGTCTATGGGAGCAGCATATGGGAATTCTACTCCCCAACTTTCCACAGGCACTGTTATTCTTTAATGGGCCTGCCCACCCTCTTCCTCTCCTTTCTGTCACTTGTGGGCCATGAAGTCTGCAGCCACAACTAAATGAAGACACACTGTATTCAGCAATAAAAAGTAGGCATCACTACACAATGGAATAACCCTCCTGCAGGGTTCACATAGAATCAGGAAAGTATATTCAGAATGGACTTTTAAAGGAAAGGTATATCATTTCTTGTGGCATTTGCACTGCATTTCTATGCTTCTCATATACTACATATAATCAGTAATTACAAACTCAGAAATAAAAGCAAATTTTCACCTGTCCGGGAACCTCCTGCTCAAAGACTTAAACAATATACAAAGAGCCCATATGTATTGGAGGCTCAGATAAAAGAATTTAAGCAGCTGCTATTTAAATTCATGGATAATTATTTCCCCAGACATTTGACACTGGGTATTAATTCACTCAGATATTAGAGGAAAATTATATCACAATAAGAAACTCCTTGGTATTTTCTGAAAAAGTCCTAACCTGGCATTTGAATTAGGTTCTGACACTGAGGAAGGACAAAAACAAACAAACAAAAAGAGCCTCACATTTTAAATCTGGGCTCGGGAGTGATGCTGCTGAAATTCCTTTTCGTAAGCAAGGTGAGGAGATATCCTGATGAATGAAATAACAAGATGAGAGATGAGCTGGAAGTTAGAGCAAAGGGAGTGGGAAAAACCGGCTAAAGGAGAGAAAGAAGGTCAGGAGAAAAGAGTAACGGAGGAGTGGGGAAAAGACGGAGCATTAGTAAGACATGGTTAATTAAGAATCTGACACCCACTTAGCCACTTCTGTACAAATGCACCACAGATTTCTTTTTAATCTGCTAACTTGGGAGATTTTAGTCTTCTGCTATGCCCATACTAATGCTGTTTTTCCTGCCTCTCTACAAAACAGAGGTGAAAACATACAAAGAAAATAGAAAATTCTCTGCTGGAAAAATATTAAAAGTGCTTTCTTTTTAAAATTTACATCATCCCTTTCTGGATCAGTTGGATTTTGGCCCAGCTTTCTTCTTGCTCTCCAGGAAACAGCCTGCCTCCTCCCTGGACAACATCGCAAATGAATGTTGTCCCCCGAGGACTACATTCACTGGTTGTGGGAATGGATTCTGCTGTCATGTGGGATGGTTTCCACAGCCCTATCTGTAAAATGCACTGCTCTGGCCTCCTGACCCAGGGGCATCCTCCAGGTCGTAAGAAATTTTGGCAAAGAGGAGCCTATTTTATCTTTGGATGGCCGTGAACTCTTCCTTTTGTTAAGATACCAGAAAGCTAGACATCTGTTTGTAGGCAAACCAACCAAGCCAACCACACAGATGTCCAAGCTGGCAAAAGATGTCAAGGGAGAGGAGTTAGCAACCCATAAAAGGCTTACAGTCCATTTCCTACCTGATGAAGGAAGGAACTGTTCGTCAGTCCTTGTGTCCCTGGGCTGGTGCCCATGTGTTTCATGTGGACGTTGTTCATGGCTGGCAATTTGGCAACTTTTGTGGGTTTGCTGCTGTTGTTGCTGATGCCACTTGAACCGGGTGAGCACTTTCTTTTCTTTCCTATGAGTTTGTCCAGAGGAGTGTGTGAGTGTGAGTAACTGCTATGGGAGTTGATGGGCAGTTCACTGGACTGGTGGATGAACGGGCCAAGAGAAAGCGTTGAGTCGCTGCTGTTCACCATCACACTCATCCTCTTGATGGACTCAGCAGGGCTCCCTCCAGGGGCAGCCCTCCCTGACTGCTCGTGCCGGACACTCACTGAGTTCGCTTTATTTGCCACACAATTGAGGCCCATGCCATGGGAAGATGTTAGCGTGGAAGGGTAGGGAGGCCCAGAGTGAGCCACACAGTTTTTCTTAAAAGACTCCATGGAATGAGAAGAAGAAGAGGAGGCAGAGGAGGAAGAAGAGTGAACTAACAGTGGAGAACTGGTTTTGCGTTTCTTTCCTGAGGTGCCGCTGGTACTGCTACTGGTGTTGTGACAGTTAGTGCTATTACCAGAAGACTCCTTGGGTCTTAAAGACTTGCTGGATTTCAACTTCTGAGGTTTCCTGGACATAGGGGAGGAGGGGACTGAGGAAAGGCCAGAGGGCATGGAAGGGGATGAGGATGAGGAGGACACTTGTCTGGATTGCATACTCCACACAGGATCCATTGCTCCGGACGTGGCAGGCTGTGCATTTAGGGTGGTTCCATGAGCTGGTACCGATTTGCTGTTTGGAGAGATGCAGGTGGATGAGAGCAGGACTGGGGATGTAGACACAGTGGCTGCTGCCAGGCAGCTGACCCCACATTGTGACGTGGGCACTGAGTTTGTCCGGTGAGGAACACGTGTAGAGACGGGGGACGTGATACTGGACACTGGTGGGATTTTCCTGAAGAGAGGAGAGAACAGTGAGTCACTTCTAGCAGAGCAATTCATAGACACTTTCACAGGGACACACACACACCCCTTCCCTCTGGCGCTGAGACACACACTGCTGTCAGAGGAATCACTGAAACACAGAGCCAATTCGGTCACTCCTCTCCTGCAAGCTCTTTAATGCCTTCCCTGGACTCTCAGGATAACCGTTCGCCAGGTCCCACGTGCAATCCAGCTGCTACTACGCAGCTTCACCCCCTGCCGCCGGTTGCCCTGCTTTCAGCTGTCCATCATTCCGAGAATAGACCATGATATAAGACCTGGTATATCTCCTGCCCAGAACACTGTTACTTCAACTTCTGCTCACCCTTCAGTTTTAGTCCATCATCTTTCTTAAGAAGTCTGTCCTGACCATCCATGGACTAACACTGCCCAGTCCCTGGACTCTGAAAGACTCAGTGGTTTTACTGTATGACTGTTGATCACTGTCTAACTTCTTTATAGAAAGAGCAATCCACAGCTTATTCAACACAGTAAGAGCAGAGCCCAGCATAGTGCTTGGAACACTTGAAGGCACTTAAACATTCAGTGAATTAGTGAGCGATAAAGGAAAGGCACAGCTAATTAGTAACAACTGTGGGCTCATCACCATCAACCTGAATGACTGGACAACAGAATTAAGCCTCAAATTTCAGGGGACTTCCAGTAGTAGTATTGAAACAGTGTATTCTGTTAATAATGCATGGGCAAGGTATTTATTTTGGGATGGTGGGCCATTTAAATAGTCAAAACAGGGAAGTCCCTTTCATTTAAGCTCTGATTTTAAAATACACCACCATCAAATTTCCAAAAACTCCATGGCAAAGTTAACTCAGAGGCGGCCAAACTGAAAGTGGCCTGACTGGAAGGGCAGCACCAAGACTGCTCTGCTCCTGATGGCATGGGGCTGCCCCAGTCAAGCCAGTCACCACGCCAGCTGGGGCTCCAGTTCCTCATCTTTCTAGTGAAAAAGTTGGCCCAGACTCCTGCCAAAGTGCTTTCCACGTGCTTTTAAAGAAGAACTATAGTAAATAACAAAAGGAATTAATTACTGAAGGTGTTTGCAGCAACTTTAAAACTCCCATTCAAGAGTGTGGCTCTGGCCCTAAGTCAGTGCTTCTTAATCTTGGCTGCATCAGACACCCGAGTTACTCGGGGGTGCAGCCCAGACATTGGTAATTTCTAAATCTCTCCAGGAGATTCCAATGTGAACCCAAGATTGAGAAGCTGGCTTCTAGCTTATCCTTGGACTCCCATGGAGGACAACCACTGATGCTACCTGAGAGCTTAGGAGGAATGCTGAGTCCCTAGGCCCCCAGGCATACTTCATCAGGATCTGACTCTCAAAAAGATGAGTTTGTGGGCACCAGCACCTTTAGGGAGCCCAGCTCTCAATGAAGTACTGGAGCTCCTGCTCACTGGATGCAATGGCTTCTCATCTCCACCAGGTGGCTGAGAAAGTCAGGCCCTAAAGACCAGGCTGTTGGACCAAGTCCTAGGAAATGAAAAAAGCCTGGGGTGGGTTTTTTCAAACAGAGTTGTGGATCTCTCTGGACTACATTACTGGTTTCTCTTTAACAAGCTCTTTTAAATCATTCATTACCTTTCATAAAAAGAATAAACAGAAAGGACACGTCATCACATTGGCCTGTGTTTGCATAAATGAATTCTGTGAAGATGCAAAAACAAATGGTAAAAAATGTTTCTGTCTGTGGAGGGTGGGTTGAAAACTGGGAGATGGAGAGGGAGAGAGAAAGAATGAACTCCAATTCATAATCCTGCTTCACAAGTTTGCAACAAAATGAGGAAAAACTCTCCATACAAGCCACTAGGAACTGAAAGCTTCCCCCAAATTGCTGGTCATAAACCACTTACCAATATAATGAGGATAAAATATCCTGAGGACCCCTCTAAACTCACAGAAGTACAATAATCCATAGTTTAGTGAGACTGATGAGCTCTCCAAGTCCCACCAGGTAGTGTAAATAAATAAGCTGAGATTTTGTGTACATTAGGGTTTTCTGATAGAGAGAGAGACCCCCATAATCTCTATAAACCACCACCCTGAGTGTGTCTCTGGACAGAGACAATGTTCCTCCATAAAGAAGAAAGAGGAGTCTTTTATTTCGTAAGAAGGAGGGAATATGGAAGAGAAAAACAGAGTAACATTACTCTGGCTCTGGTTTTCTTTCTTTTCTCTCTTCTCCCTCTCTCTCTTTCTTGAAGATTTTTATTTAACTTACTTTCAGAGAAAGGGGAAAGAAGGGAGAAAGAGAGGGAGAGAAACATCAATGTGAGAGCACCCCCAAAAGGAGACCTGAACTGCAATCCAGACATGTGCCCTTCACTGGGGATCAAACTGGCGACCTTTTGTTTCATAGACTGGTGCTCAAAACTCACCAGGACTGGCTCTGGTTTTCTAAGTGAACAAATTACAAGTCCTATTAATGATCATGGAGACAGTTTTCTAAATTGTGGACTACATGAGCTCTCTGGCTTCCTCTGACTTTATTAGCAAACCAAGAATGGCAAGTCCATTCAGGGAGGCACTAGTAAATGATGCCCAAATGGGGACTTAGGTTGGCCTATGGAATACTAACCATCTTCCTTTAGCAATGCTCAATGTTTCCCAAAGTAGGTACCCCTTCAACACTGGTTCCCCAAGATGCTATCCTAAAAGAGGTTCCCAGGTCAAAAGAGCTTGGGGGACATTCCATACTATACATGACATCTCCTGCTTTAAGATTACAATGGAAAGTACCCACTAACAGGGTCTGAAAAGTCCTACAGCAAGAAAAAAACTACAGCCCTTGCCAGGTAGCTCAGTTGGTTACAGCATCGTCCCATACACCAAAGGGTTGTAGGTTGGATTCCCCGTCAGAACATATATCTAAGCTGTGGGTTTGATCCCTAGTCTGGGTGCATACAGGATGCAACAGATTAATGTTTTCTCTCTAAAATTGATAAACATATCCTTGGGGAAGGGAGAAAGGGAGGAAGGGAAGGAGGGAGGAAGGCAGGAAGAAAGGAAGGAAGAGAGGGAGGGGAGGGAGGGAGGGAAGGAAGGGAGGGAAGGGAGGGAGGGAGGGAAGGGAAGGAAGAGGAAGAAACTACCTTACTTCTGGGATGACCATGGAACACTTCTTTCACTTAAAATACCATTGGGGAAACACCAGCATAAAACTGCCATACAAGATGATTGTCTTACCCTAAATTGTACATCAGGGCAAATGGCTCCTCTACCTAAAACCCTCAGCAGCCACCACTGCCCTCAGAGTCCAGGCCAGTGTCATGCGGCCCTTGCTGCCCTCTTGGATCTGGTCTTACAGCACATTCCCTTTCATGCTTTCTCAAACAAACCACATTCTATTCTGACTCAAGACCTTCCCACACATGGTTCTTTCTGCCTGGAACCCACACTTCCCCACCATCCCATGGCTGCTCTTTCTCATCCATCCACCTCAGTTCAAGATCAAGGGATGCCTCTGCATAGAGGATTTTCCTGACTCCCTCTGGTCTGCTGTCTTCCATCTCAGCTCTCTGGAACCAAACTGCCTTTGGGCCCAAATCCTGGCCCTACAATAACTTGCTGTGTGACTTTGTTTTTCAGTTTCATTACCTGTAAAATGGAGAAAATCAAGGGCGCCTGACAAAGTGATTTGTGAAAATTAAATACATTTAATAAGTTGCCTGGCATACAGTAAGCTTTAAGTAATTATCAGTGTTTCCATTATCTCCCTTAGGACAAGCCATCATCTAGCTCTAGTTTCTGTTTATTGGTTTTTTTTTCTCCACAAACTAGACTGTGAGCTCTATACTTGCACCTGGAACCCCAGCACCCAGAAATAAGACATATTTGCTGAAAAGAGTGAATGAATGAATGATGAGGGGCCTCTTTCTCAGGGCTAACGAAAGCCACAGTTTCATTAGATAAACATCTTCATGAAATTAGTCCCATAAGAAATAAAGAGGATGCAGTACTGAGTCATTAGTTGCCCTCCCATCCCAGAGGTGGTGAGACGGGCACTCACTTCCATAGCTGTGCGTTCAGATGCTTCTCCACCATGAGGTTGAGGGCACAGCGAAGCCTGTTCCACCTGGAGTCAAACACATAATAGCCTCTTCCAATCAGCCGGCTCCCGAATGTGCAAAACTGAAAGAGAGAGCACAGGTGCCCGTGCTTGCTAATTAGACAGCAGCACACCCAGCAAGGGCCCTCTCTCCTTCAGGCATGGAGCTACTGTGAAAGACAACTTACTCTGAGTACCACAGCCTATGAAGTGTAAGAGTGGCAATGCCTGGCCCTGAGTTTCATGGAGAGAAAGGGAAAAGCATGAGATGCCCCTGGACACAGTGAATGCCACCACTGGGACACCCTGTGCTGAGCTGATCTCACACCTTGAGCACGCCCCACGTGTATGGGCATGCCAAGGCCCCTGGCGTGCCCCTCTGCAGTGTCTTGTCCCTGCTATGCGGGGAGGGTCGACGCAGGGTGGGTGTGGCACTTACAGATGCTGGCTGAGGATGATGACCTGAATAATGACAGTCCAGTTTTTCAACAGATTCTTCTTTGTCATCGCCTTCTCCCTCCTCACTGGATAACCGAGAAGCTGGCTCAGTGGCAGGCAGGGGAGGGTGTAGAGATTCATGGACTGAAGGAGGGTCAATGGGGGCACTCCCACCTTGCTGAGCAGGGCAGCCTGGAGGCCTTGGTGAGCAGAAAGTGCAGGTCACATGTCTGGGAATCAGCCACCTTAACTCAGATACAGTAACGTATCTAAAACCACTTAGGGATCTGGGGCCACCTCTAGCACTGGGAAAACCTGAGCCAGGTGGCCTAGGAGTGAAGAATCATCTCCCCTGAATTGCAAGTTGTCAAATGCAGCTGTCTACCAGGTCTAGCCCAGGGGACTTAAAAACTAATTCTTCTTTCTACAGCCACTTGGGGGCTCAGGTCCTCCTCCTAGTCTTACCAAAGAAGGGAAAATATATATGGAATTTCAGAGAATCCTTTCTTTGGAGACTCCTCTTCAAATTTCACCTGGTTTTGGGTTTCTAAGGCAATGAATGAAATAACTGACAAAATGCTCTACAATAACCTAAGACAGACAGGAGGTGATAAAATAACTAGGTAACATTGGTACTTTATGTGAAAAAGTGACCTGAGATAGCAATGTATTTTTTCTCCACATACAAAGGCCTAGTGGTCCTAGAATTAAGCTTCATTTTTTTTTTTTAATAGATGGAAGAACTTCAATGAGAAGATGGCCAAAGAAAGCATTTGTTAAGGAATCATGCAGAGGCTCGGCTGCACTCTTGGGGAGCCTCCTTGACTGCTCTTCTACTGTGTTGCTCAGAAACCAGAGGGTTTGTGTTGGGATGGGCTCAAGGTCACGTCTGGGTTTCCATGGGAGAGGAACTTCCACCCCTCATGGAACAATTTCAAGGATCAGACATGAGAGTGTGAAATGTGAGGCTATGGCAACAAGAGTTGGCACATTCCTAAGCAGAAGCTTTTGCTGCCCATGGACAACCCTAGAGGATTCATTTTCTATGCTTTCTCTTTTCCTTTCCTTGGCAAATTGGGTACAAAGTCCTTTACTTCAATGTGGTTAAGTACACAAGCACAGACATACATATATGCAGCCCACCAGCACTGTTTCTGAGGCATGTGTATGATTAAGTTTGCGATAAAACACTCTGATCCATGGTTTAGTGCATGGCTAGCATGCCTAATACATGTTTAGGCCCAAAACCCATATGAATGAATGAAAAAAAATGTTGATAAATGGATGCTGAAAAAACTCAGGCTGAATATCTGACCCCAGCAAGGGATTCCCATGCTGCACTTTGCAAGAAGCAAGACAAATGAATGGGAAATTGTTGCCAAAGCCATGGGAAATGTTCTAGTCACTAACTGTGGACAGGACCCAAGTGTCAGTCCTGCTCAGTGGGCCTAAGAGACACAGAACACTGAGCAGGAGTGGGGCAGATAATTCTAGCTTTATTCTGCTGCCTGCACTGAGCCAAGAAGAGCCCAATCATGAGCTCAACAACTTTTTTTTCCTTACTGTAAAACCTAATTTAAAAACATCTCATCTTCTCATATGAGCCTGACATCATGACAACACTGGGGTTCTACTGTGTCTCCAATCTGTTCTCTGAATGCGGGGAAGGAGGTGGAAATCTCAGCTTACCTTGGAAGACTGGGGGTGTGAGGTTTAGGTTTACTAGCTACAAAAGGCTTTGATTCGGAAGGAGTCACTCCTTGACAGTTTGGGTGTGGCTCCTGTGAAGTTCTAGGAGGGGCGGGATGCGGGTCCCTGAGAGGCTGCATTGGTTGCTGAGAGTCCGGATGGCGAATCGTTTCCTTTTCCCTGGTTTTGTTTTTGTGCTCGGCTAATAACACATCAAATCGTTTTCTTCTACCCTGGACAGCCCTCCGCTGGGTTAAGGAATGTGTCTGTGGACCAAAAAAAGATAGAAACTGAGGTATCTCAGTAACAATTTTTTTGTCATATATCCCAAAACACCATTCCCAATAAAAAAGCAATCTAGACCATTAGCATAGTCAAAGGCTGCTCAGTGTTTGATAAGCTAAAAAACAAGAGTATGATCTTTTTTCTTCCACTAGAAGAGAGGCATGTGTTCCAGGTTCCACACGTAAGATAGCTTGGTGATTTTACTTCTGCCAGAAAGAAGAAAGAAGGAATGTTTGCTGTACTACTGGTATGTCACCAAGCAACAAACTGTAGAAACATGCAGGTGCCAACAGGGGCAATTACTTTTTCGGGCTCTTACTAACTCCATTACAGAATCCCTCTTTGTGCCATTCAGAGTTTTAAATGTTAAAGGCAAGAAACAATTATTCCACAAATTATATCAGAAAGTCTTCGTTTAGTGACCGTAAGAGTAAAAACTAAACATGACTGCTTCTCTATACTGCAATGAAAATGCCATTTCAAGACAGAAGTGGCTCAAAGCAAGCTGGAGACAGGGACTGTCAGGGCCAAGTGAAGTCTTATAAGGCTGACAGGAGAAGAATATAGAGCACAGTGTACCCCGAATTAAGTGAATTCACCCATATACTTCCTTCTCTCTTTTATATTACAAACCACTGCAAATGATACTTCATGTGCATTCATGGATCTACACATTATACAAATGTGTTGTTCTACAGGTTTACATGTTCCCCAAAATCAAGGGGTTTAAGAGGAATTAGGCCTCTACTGTCCTTTTCAAATTCAATAACATAACCTACCTCTTCCTCAGACACAATGCAAACTGTGTATGCCCAGAATCTAATCTGGCATAGACAATGTGCTTAGCTTCTTTCTAAATTTTGACTTAATTTTCTTTAATACGTAATATATTTACTTACAAGACAGTAAACTAAATGAAGACTAGGAACTGTTTTATTCGGTGCTATACCAACAATTAGAATAGCACCTGGCATTCAATAAATGCTTCAAACAAGAAATATAAGAAAATAATAGCCCTCCGACATGTGTCAAATGAACAAATGACTGTACAACATCACTGGTGCACCTGTTTCTCTAGCCAGATGTAGAAGTCTCTCCTCCCTGGTGCTCAGCACAGAAAAGCCAGGTGAAAAAAAATTGGGCTGGGATGATCAATATTTTCCCAGCTCAGTTTGAAGACTAAATAGTATTTCCACTGAGTGCTAAAGAGCCTTCCAAACACAAATCTGATGCCCCCAACCCCTATCAGTAATCTCTGGGGCTACCTAAAGTTTACAGGATAAAGACTGTGTACCTAGGCTTCTGAGCCATGCACCCATACCCTCTGTTCTTCGGTATCAAGTGCCTCCTCCGTCTGTTCAGTCCCCCGGCTGTCTTCAGACCACAAGGCCTGCCCATCACACAGCTGATGCACAAACCGTTTCCTCTGTCTCTCCCACCACTTTTCAGCCAGATAAATTATATGGGTTTTAGCTCCATGTTCCTGTGGCAAAGGAGGCTTCCCTGGCCCAGTCTCCCCACTGAAGGCTGTTATAACACAGCCCTCCTACTTTTCACTCATCATCAGTAACTTGATACTTATCTGAGTGATTATCAGATTAATCTGCATCTCTCTCATTAAACTGCAAGCCACACAAATGTAGGGAATATGCCCTTATTTGTTAAAACCTGCCACTTCTGGCTTGTGGACTCAAAATCTATTAGCACAGAGGGCACAGGACATTGGGCATATGAGAAAGCAAGGAGGGGAAAGTGACAGTGACAGGCAGACAACAGGCAGGGAACAATAAATAAGAGGTAAAGCAGTAGATCCCCTGACAGCAAAGAGAATGGAAAATGTTCTAAGTCCAAGACAGGAGACACCTGGGCAGTTAAGGTGGGGGACATTCAGTGAGGCACTTGAGCATGTTTAGCCCACCACAGCTGAATAGATTCAGGCCACTGAGGCAGAAAAGGGTGAGCCACCAACAGAGCACAGGAAGAAAGGAAGGGCATTCTATGAAAGGGCTGGCCTATCAAGATGCTGCATCTTCTGCCAGTTCTATGCTGAACTCACAACATGCCGGGGCTGAAGATATTAGTGTGATGAAAGGATCAGCATCACACCACAGATAGTACTGATACCGTTAATACATGGAGGGCATACATGATTTGAGAAGAAAGATGGGAGCAAAATGCAGGATCCATATCATGTCAGTTCACCCATCAATAAAGGTTCAGGAAGAAGGCTGGTTAAACCCCTTCCACATTCTGAGTTGATAAAGCTTTTGGTTCACTAGCATGCCTCAGAGGAGATTTAAAAAAAGAGCATGTTGCAAAAAGAAAGCATCCTTCACTGATCATAGGTATCATATCACTGAGAAATCTGTTCCTGAGAGTCAGGTAGGCAGTAAGAAAGCAGAGTGGATGGCAAACTATGACAATGATGTGAGGAGGCTGAGGTGCGCCTTCACAAGTACCTTAGGGGCAGTTAACATGGATACAATCCTGCAGAGCTTGAATGGCTATCTTCAAAGAACAATTACACACCATTGTGTGTATTCATTAATATTATATAAAACAAGAACAACTTGTTCTGAGCTAGGAGTTTTTAATCTAGTGATTTAGGAGTGGGCTTGCAGTGGGAATGTCCAACAAATCCCGAAATAGAATGCAAAATTCTGAGGTCAAAAGTTCAGTTTGGGATGCATAAACTTTGAAGACATCTCAGTGGAGGTGTCAAAAAGTTGGGTTTAAAAAAAAAGAAAGAATGCAAAATTCAGAATATACATGTAAAACATAGTGGGCAAATGAAAAAATAAAAGAATATAAATGGGTGTTTATATTTTTTCCCTCAAAGATGAATACCTATGATTTTTTAAAAATTAGTTATATTTAAAAGTGCCCATGACCAACCCCTTTCCCGAAAGGATCAGATCATTGTTGCAAGACAAAAATCCACATAATAAAGTTAAATTAGAAATTTAAATTACAATAAAACCACTGAGAAATAACATTTCCCATGTCTAGGAAATTATAATATTCCACCACTGTTTAGGGGTAGAGTGGAGCCCGATGCCCTTTATTCAAACACAATCTTTGGTAAAATTTAAATAATACCCCAACAATTTTACTATTAGAAGACAACAAATTTTTATAATTTTTAACCCCTGCAAAGAAGGAGTTTTAAATTACATAGTTCAACGCAATAATCCTTAATATTTCTTGAATTTTTCTGGAGGGTACATAAGGACACCCTCCAGAGAAATGCAAATAAACATACATGTTCATTTATGTTTGAACAGCAGGTACACTGATGCATGGAAGCCACCCTACATGAACCACCCTTATTTTATAACCAACATATCCCATCCTAGTTAGCAAAACGCCATTTTAACAGAAAACTCTGGACAAAAAGAAGGATCATTACATTTTCTTAGCTTACATATAAATTACATTGTATGTTACCTAATCATTATTTAAAATCTTTTTTTAAATTATTTTATTTTAGAGAGAGGGAAAGGGAGGCAGAAAGAGAGGGAGAGAAACACCAATGTGAGAAAGAAACAGTGACTGGTTGCCTTCTGCAAGCACCCCAGATAGAGCCTAGAGCCTAAAACCCAGGCATGTGAGCTGACCGGGAACCAAACTGGCGACCTTCTGGTTTGCAAGACAACACCCAACCAACTGAGCCATGCTGGCCAAGGCACCTAATATTAAAAACAAAACAAAACAAAACATCCTAGAAAAATAAGGCTATCTAAAAGCCACAAAATATTAAAGTGGCTCTTTAAAATTTAAGAACCACACAGATTATAAAAACATTTTAAGACTGTTCATATATCTGCAAAGGAAATTCCTGAACTTGTTCTAAGCCAGTATAATTTAAACATTAAAGGGTAGCTTTTCATATTAAATTTCTCTGAAGAAATGTTAAAAATCTTTGAGAACAACATACTGATAAATGAAGAACACTATTCTCCTGGATACAACACAGCTCACTGGAAACAAAACCTCTCTGAAAACTGCAGTTTATAACAACCAACTTCACATTTTCTGACCTGAGAGGCTTTCTCATTGAAACCAAGTTATTCCTTTATTTATGAAATTCAGAATAACCCACAGATTAGATCCCCTCTGGGTTACAGACTTGGGAGCAATGCCATCTATCCAAGCTCACTAAGCTTGTCAGAGCATTCAGTTCTGTCCAGGAGGCCACCTACCTTGCACGTCAAAGACCGGGTACAGGGCTTCTTGGTGTCGAGATCAATAACCCCACAGTGTATGTCAGGATCAAATTCTCTTTCTGTCAAAAGCACAGAGACATTACAATGGGCTCACCAAACATTCCCTTTTCTTATTTTGTAAATAAAAGAAGAGGAGAAATCTTAAAACAAATTGTAACTTGAATAAAATCTACATTTATCAATAAACATACAATAAACAATGTGTAAGTACTATAAAGAAGCAATGACATTGCTAAGAGAGTGGGAATTACTGCCACTAGGTGACATGAAAGAGACAAAGTCAGTATTACTGCATTACTCCATTCAGAAATACATTACTCGAAAGCTATTTTTACATTTATCCATACATCCATGCACTTTAAAACCAACGGTGAAGAGGTCAAGCATACTACTTAAGGAAATTCCTCCTAAAGCTGAAGTTAACCAGTTTTTAAAAGAGGACTTAATGATAGCAGTACATTTGCTCTCCTAAGAATGGCCAATTAAGACACAGAGAAGCATTAAGAGAAAATGTAAAGTTACCTGATAATCTCTTATTTAAAAATTTCCTGTTATTAGAATTATCTTCAGACTTCTTTTCCAGAGTGGGCAGTGTAGGAAGCCCTTTGCCATTCAGAATTTGTCCAGGTGAAGGCAAGGTTGGCTTTGGTATTGAGGGGCAGTTAAGGCCAGGCTTGACTGAGGAACTCACAGTAGCAGGACAGGTTGGCCCCATCGCAGATTTCAGTAGTGTGCCATCCATCTTCGGATGAATTTTCTCCACTTTAACAGAGGGCGTCATGCTGTGGTAGGAGAAACAAGAATACCAGTACCTAAGTGCCCAGAGGCCCCAGTGACCCAGAGAGATGGAAGGGAGCTTAGATCTACCTGTGAACTGCACACAGCTAGGCTCCCAAGACACCTTATAAAAATTTGTTAGGACTACCCAGAAAACTCAGGAAGGTGCACACTTACTCAGTCTATAAGTCCTTCTGGCAAGGCAAAGAGCTTGAGTAAACACCTGCTCTTTCACTATTCCAGAACAATCTTACACTATTCCAGAACAATCTTTCACAGGAGCCAATGGGAGATACAGACCTGATATCCAATGTAATCCCTACAAGAAGCAAAATCTGAAAAAGTCTAAAAGGATGAAAGGATACTTGCAGGGCCCATAGAGAATGTCTGAGAACTGTCATTTTTAAAAAGAACCCATCAAAATGAAGAAAATTGAGTGAGCAGAGAACATGGATTAAAATTTATAAGAAATGTCACTAAGGACTTACAAGAACTTAAATAAACCTAACAAGGTATCTCCAAGAAGAGGCTCTCTGCTCATGTTAGTAAGAACATGTTTAACTAATAAATGATGCATCACTGACGTGGTAATTCTGCAGTTCCTGAAAAAGGTTTCTAATATAGATGCTTGAAATAGTACTGCCTGGTACACAGCTGGGGACCACTAAATACTTGTGCCACTACCAAAGAATTGATCTCTTGGTATCTTACTGGCACAATTACTTGGGTGGCAAATGTTGGTACGAATCTAACAGTTGGCCTGGTCGCCCTCTAGAGCCCAGCTTCAAGTAAGAAGATTTGGATTGATGAGGTTTTATAAACTCTGTTCAGTAGAGGCAGTGCTCTAACAGCTGTTAAGCTGGCAAGTGACTTACACGCTGTGCTGGCATTTTCTTTGGCTTTCAGACAGCTCTAGGAACCAAAGCTAAGCTTGCTGTCCTTGCACTTCTGACAGATGAGCAGAGGCTGGGGCTTAGCAACGAGGACAAACAGCTCCAAACAGCTGTACCTGGGACAAGCCTGACAGCAGAGACACTGCAAGATGCCAGGGCCACTCCCAGCTGGCATGTCCCTGAGCAGGTGGGGGATGCTGCCCTGAGATTAGCCAGATACTTAGCCCTGGGACTGAGATGGGGCATACTCTGCAAAGGGAGGCAAGTCAGGGTAAAGCTGACACCATGAAGGTGAGGGATGCTGAGACAAGGCAATATATGCTTCTCTGGGAGTACACAGTGGCTCCATCACATGACATAGGGAGATGGTCAATCTGCAGGTCCGTTGTGGAAATGTGCCAAAGCCTTGCCTGGCTGGTGGGTGTGAACTTCCCCATCTTCCCTCATTGCACAGTACTGTGATGTGAACCAGGACAAGGGGAGGAAGCACTGTATCCCTATTTGGTCTACAGGCCCTGGGAAATCCTAGTACAGCATCTGGGAATCTCCTCCTCTTTTATTCCTACTATTACCTTTTAAAAGCACCAGCATCCATTTACTCTCTCCAGTGAGCCAGCCACTAAGCCAGACGCTTGGCTCTAATATATTAATCCTACTGCTCCCAATAACTGCAAAATGGTTGCTATTTTTAGACTTCAAGAAAAACAGTGTCATGTCCAAGGTCTTAGAGTCAAGAAGTGATAGAGTAGGGATTTACTTGAACCCAGGATTTGAATGAGGTCTCCTTAGCTAAATCTCCTCAACCTTACTATACTGCCTTCTCCTTAAAAGGGGGATAACAATACCTGTTTCATAGGGTTGTTGTGATAATTAAATGACAATACACACATAGGGCTAAGTTTTAATGGGCAGTACACAATAAAGGAGCAATAAATAAGTGTTATTCGCCTTACAATTAATGCAACTACTACTCTGTAAAGTTGTCCAAGATATGAAATGGAAACAAAAAGAAACCAAATATATCTGAATATTCCCTAAGGTAGGCCCCTCTTTCCCAGGATGTTCTACTTGTATCAGGTAAGCACTACGGAACCTCTTGGCCATACTCACATTCTAGCATGGGGGACTCGACTCTGCTGAGTGGGATGCATTGGCCTGGTGTTCCCCCTGAGCTGTAGTTTCTCTTTGGGCGATTTCAACAGCTTGGAACTTAATGAGGATGTGCTGAGAACACCTCCGCTGGCACAGTGGCTGCTTCCACCAGCACTGCTGCCTTTGCTTTTGGACAGAGAAGGGAAGAAGGAGAATACTGACGTGGGAGGAACGGCCAACGGAGGCTTGCTGGATGAGCTATGTCTTCTTTCTAAAAAGGAAAACGAAGAAAAAGAAAAAAAGACACTGTGGTTCAGGAAAGTCTCCAGTGGAATTCTGGAAAAGTCCCCTGAAATACAACACATTTAGGTTCAAAGATGCCTCACTAAGTTAACATATATTAAAATCTGCGGCTTTCAGAAAGGTCTTATCTAGGCCCCAGACTTATTTAGGATTCCAGGAACTGATCCTTCTGCTGAGGAAACAGCTCAGCATAAAGAGCTTTATCATTCATAGATAGCCATTAAAAAGTTAACCAGCCATTCTAAACCCGAGAATACTGGGTTTTGTACATGAACCTCACTGGCTTCAACTTGTAGTCAGAGAGAAGACAATGATTCATTCATCTGCAGAACTCTGCTAATTATCACCTTATTGAATTCATTCTTCCTTTCTTGCACAGTACCTCTCCAATTTTCAAAATAGCAAAGTGTTAAGAAACAAGGTGTACCTTCATTTTCTTCTGTCACTACCCACTAGCATATGACACCAAATAAGAATGTTTCTAGGGTTATCTTACCATTCTTTAAGAATTTGTGCTTAAATTTTCCAGTGAATCATTTCACCCCTCCCCTTTTTTAATCATGTCATTCAACTACAGATGGCATAGCTCCAGTTCACATCACAAAGATGCCAAAGGCACAAGACAAAAACACTACAAATAGCTGCAGCTGGTGTTTTACACCAGGAAGTAATGCACACTTAAGTAGAAATTATACAGGTATAACTGAAAATAAGTCTATCCCCTGGAGAATCAGGTTTTCTCAGAGTAAGGTAATCCATATTAAATAAAATGACAGCAGTTGAAGAATGTTACCATTGAAAACGGTAAATTATTTAGTAATGTTATCTACTTAAGTACCTTATGATGGTAGCTTGGTGCCTGCCTCACTTAAACTTATAATTTAAAATGACATTTGCTTAACTCTAAGTTTTAAAATGTATGTGGTCCAACATTTATTTATCACAATATGGAAGGTGCATGAGTATTTGAGAAATTAAGCATATTAGAATCAATGACTATAAGCATTACTTTAATGGCTTATTTCTGAAGGTCTTTTTATGCCAGTCTTGAGCCTCTCTATACAGCTGTGATGGCTCAATGATTTTCTGTGAGGTACCTAAGAATCTGCTCTACACCAGGACAAAATTATCATGCCATCTACAGTCAAAATTCAAATTCTCTAACTTGACCACACAAAGACCACAACCAGGTTAGAAAGGCTAAATTGACAGTGACTTATAAGTGCCAGTTGCTTCCCTGAGCCTCCACTTTCTTGATAAGAAAATTGTGCATAAAAAGTTTAATAAAATTACTAAACTTAAAATAACAAGTTTAATAATTTTCCAAATTTGACATTCGAGGTTTTTACATTTATTTTCTTGTCTGATCTCAAGCACTCTGAATATCCTTTCAGTCAGCACTTGACAGCCAGGACTGTAAAACTGTTTCCAACCTCCTGCCTGTCTCAAATGGTGAAGCTTCCCTAAGCCACAACTCAGTCCTCTTGCTCTGTAAGGCATGGATGGCACAGCGAAGGCCTTCAATTAAGACCTGCATGATCCACACAGCTTTTCTTGTGAATAAGAATGATTTTCAAATGGTCCTAGACCAGTGGTTCTCAACCTTGGCTACACATTGGCATAACTAAATGAGCTTAAAAAATTAGTGATAACTGAGTCCCACTTTCAAAGACTGTGACTGAACTGGTGTGGGATGTGGCCTGGGCACAACAGGGCAGCCAAGATTGAGAGCCTGCCTTACACCAGGCTAATGCCTCAAACACCATTAACCACAACTAAGTTAACATCTGCATACAACTGAGAACACTGCTTGGCACATGGCACTACATTTCAGAGTTTGTTAAAGCTCACTGCTGCTACTGTTCCTCAACTAGCATTTTCAAAATTCTATCAACTGTAAATTATTTTCATTGTTCTTACCAAAGCCACATAAAATACTACTTTGTGCTCAGCATTTTAATTTAAATGATTAACTCTATTGTTCTCTACTCCTCCTTAATCTAATATTAACCAGTCTCTCATGGGGGCATTATTGGTATTTTGGACAGGACAATTCTTATACAGGTAATTCCTGGTCTCCCATCCTTTCATCACAACAGTACCTGCCTCTCTGCCAGGTACAACCTGAAACTGCTCCCCAACCCATTTGCTGATAGCCTAGCATACAGCACAACACCTCACTTGATAGTTTTCCAAAACTGTAGTATCTATGAAAAAAAGGTCTGGTAATCTTGCCATACATATTTTTCTGAAAAACCAATTCAATTATAGCTGAGTTGGCCTCTTCTCATGGTTTTCACTGTGGGTCCTTATTTTTCACAAAAGATTTTAAACTGGACTTCCAGCTTAAAACAGTGTTATGGTTCTAGATCAAAAGTGAAATGGATTATATATATATACACATATATTATATATATATGGATTATATATATACATATATATATATGAATAAAATCAGTAATATTGTGTATCCCAACAGCAGTATACTAAAGAAGCTATACTATGTCTGTGGTGTGCAGATGGGGAAAAACCCAACAGAACTTGGACTTTAAAAAAGTATGCTCTTTTTACTATCCTCTGGGTATCAGAATTCTCAGGCGAAGTAGCTCCAGTAAATGTGATATATTTCCTCTTGATATCAAATGATATAAATAAAATTCTTAATCTAATTAAATAAGTCAGTTGTCTGATACAATGCTTGTTGTTTTGAGAATGTAAGTTTATTCCAAAGCCATTGATACACTAAAAAAACAATTTGAGCATAACAAAATTTCACATTTGGTTTTGCAAGATTTCACCTCCAAGAAGCACTAGATGAATGCAGAAACCTGTATGTGGCTGAACCGAACCCCATGGGAAATACAAAATGTCCCACACACCCACCATCCTCCTCAGGTCCCCAGGGATGTGAGGAGCCACACTCATCTACGTCTGGTGCTACAACCTTCCACTGATTTCAGAGCACCTTCCTCTCACCATGACACAATAGTTCACAAGCTGTAATCCTCTTGACACCTACTTCTAAAAGCAAATATCAGGTCATTTTCTAGGTAAATTGTCATATTTATTTAGTACTTATGTATTTTTAACCATTTAATCTATGTAAAATTGTACTACCATTTTTGTTAGGTTCCTATTTTTTTCTGTGTATTACTGAAGAAGTTTTTTTTTTTTCTGTTAAATCCTCACTGGAGGATATGCTTATTGATTTTAGACAGAGAGAGAGACAAAGGAAGGAAGGAAGGGTGGAGGGAGGAAGGGAGAAAGAGAGAGAGAGAGAGAGAAGAAACATCAGTGTGAGAAAGAAACGATTTGCTGCTTCCTGTACCTGCCCTGACCAGGTATGGAACACACAACCTTCTGGTGGATGGGATGATGCTCCAACCAAGTAATTCACCCAGCCAAAGCTCACTGAAGAAGTTTTTGAGGGTTGTGCCCATCATCTAATTTTCTCAAAGACTCTGATATGGTTTTTAGTGTAGAATTCTATATAGTGCAGTAATTTTTAAGGAATGTGTGTTGTTACAGCATAACCAAATGCAATGCTAAGCTTGTCCTTTTAATTTTCTATTCCTACTTTAGTCCTTTCTCCCCATTTTCTTTAGTTAACGCTTTTTTAGTTAATTCTTTTCTTGTTTAATGCTTGAAATGGGATTTCACTTACAAAATTAAGATTCCAAGCTTCCTAACATTAAAAGTCAGCTGATGTATCAATAACATTTCCAAAAAATTATATTTTCTACTTCAACAATAAAAGCTATTTAAAAACTGAGAATGGCAATCTATCATGTGAAATTCTTTCAGTTACTAAAACTGGAAACAGGCCTTTGTGCGTGTGTATGTGTGTATCTGAGATTCTGGGTGAAAAGTACCAGCTCAAATAAATCCTTGTCATGTTGCTGAAGGGAGTTGTTCCTTCACATCATAGTCTGGTAACTTAGTCTCTGGAATGGGCAGCATGTGGCTTTCCCTTTGAGAGAAAGCAAGGAGGAAAAAACCAATTCAATTATAGCTCAGTTGGCCTCTTCTCATGGTTTTCACTGAGGGTCTTCATTTTTCATAAAAAACTTTAAACTGGACTTCCAGCTTATTACAGGTAGGGCTAGGAACCTTATATTAAGTGGAAAAACTGGTGGCCAGATGCTAAGCATAACTGCAATGTGGCTTGGTGAGTAGTTGAACTTTCAAAGCACTCCTGTCTCCAGGGTCTGGAACAGGTCCAGACAAAGCACACTCTTGTCCCTGAATGAGGACGGCACTTTGAGTGACTATAGCAGAAGGGAGACCAACAGTCAGACAAACATAGATACAGAGAAAGATTGAGAAGAAGCAGAAAAAGATACATTGGTGAGCGTGTGTCGGGGGCAGGAGAGACTTGGTTGGTAGACAGATGTGAAAATAAAGGTAAAAAAAGAGACATCAAGATATGGATGCATTGGGCTTTCCCCTTGTGGCCTGAACATGTGACACCACTGAAGGCAAGGGCAGGATACTAGGGAGGGGACAGCACAGCTTTCTTTAAGTCTTTCAAAGTAGAAAGCAAGCAAAAATACTGAACCTGTAATTTAGGAATCATGCTGAAATTTATTTATACATATACATATACATATACATATAAATGAATATATACATATATAAGTACACACACACACACACACACACACACACGGAAGTACTGACCCAAGTACAAACCAAAAAGGAACTTGAAGCAAATACTTAGATCTTTTTAAGTCAAAAATAAATAATGCTGCCCTGGCTGGTGCAGCTCAGTGGATTGGGTTCGGGCTGCAAACCAAAGGGTCACTGGTTCGATTCCCAGTCAGGGCACATGCCTGGGTTGCAGGCCACATGAGAGGTAATAATGCATTGCTGTTTCTTTCCCTCTCTTTCTCCCTCCCCTCCCTTCTCTGTAAAATTCAATAAATAAAACCTTAAAAAAATAAATAATGCTTTGAAAATAACTAAAAA